CCTGCTGAAACCACAGGAACTAGGTTGAAAGAGGAAGGAAAAGGAACCTTTTCTCGGAGTTGTTCTTACCGGCTTTCACATATTTTTAGCATTGAGGGACTCAATCTTGTTGGGTTGATCTTTTAGGATCTTTATAAATGTTTTAATGTTTTTATGGTTGTTATTTATGTTTGTGTTGTAATAACATTGATGGTTTCCCCATCTACCGGCGTTTTGTCTCAACTAGAAGGTGGTCTCCTTACCATTCTATGTCTGGGGTGTCTCTCACATAGAGGGCGGTTTTCTCGTAGCACTAAGACTAAGTTGTGTGATTTGGATCCATTGTTAGATTATAATGTGGTTCATCTTGAGTCGTTTCTACATGGCCAAACTTTATTCTAATACCACTTTGTGAAGGAGCCCTTCTGTTTTTATGATATGGGTGTGTTTGTATTTTCTAATCATGTGAGTAATACATGTTTCTTTGATTTTAATATTGCCTTGCATCCTAACTCTTTAGTGGCTTTTTAATGAATATATTTCATTAGCATTCAAAAATTATAATAAGTTAAAATGTTTTTAGAAAATATTTTGAAAGTTAATAGTTTTTATTCCATTAATATGAATGACAGTTTAGACATTGTACGTCTTAAAATATCAGTCTTAAAATGTCATTTTAAAAAAAATAAAAGTATCATTTTAATATTATTAAAAACATAAGATACTAATAAGATATGAGTAATCTTGATAATACCTCTTAAAAATATATAAGTCATTATTTTGATCATTTACTCTTTATTTATAATTTTTTTTTAATTAAATAATTACATTAATAAAAAAAATATTTATTAAGAACAATAAATAAAAGTGTAAATTTAAAGCTAAATTCTTCATTTCTTCGTAATCCCATCATCTCTCCTGCCACTCATTTGGGCACCTCCTTTTCTTTATAGGAACAAGAGACTTTCTTTTTGTTTGAAACATCAGGACCCACCAACTGCGTTGCCATTAGGCATTAACCTTTCTTTTGAAAGTCAAAATATCTCTAGTACGAGGTTTAAACACAACTCAAGAATCAAGATTCCTCGGACTGTTGCCCGTTGAGCTTCAATCATGTCTTCTTCTCACGGCGTAATTCCCTTGTACGCCGACCTCCTCGAATCCTGCGCTTCCACTAAAAACCTGAAAAGTCTCCGACAAATACACGCTCGGACATTGGCTCTCGGAATCTCCCGCCACAAATTCATCCGAGCAAAGCTCGTATACGCCTACGCTTGCTGTGCCCAGCTCTACGAAGCCATCCTTCTCTTCCGCTTCTCCAATCACCAATCCACTTTCCTCTTCAACACCCTCATTAGAGCCCATTCCTCTCTCAACTTGTTCTCCAAAGCTCTCCACATCTTTCGCCAAATGCTTCTCTCGGACAAAATCATCCAATGCCAAACGCTTCCTCCGGTGCTCAAGTCCTGCGCCGGCTTATCGGCCTTGCGGCTCGGCCGGCAGGTCCACGGGGCTGTTTTCGCCCGTGGGTTTTGCTTGGACTTGGCCAGCTCCAACGCATTGATCACTATGTATGCTAAATGTGGTGATTTGGAGACTGCGCGCAAGATGTTCGATGGAATGCTGGTGAGAAATGAGGTTTCGTGGTCAGCGCTTATGGCGGGCTATGGGATGCATGGGATGTGCGGAGAGGTGTTTCGGTTGTTTGATGAGATGTTGGAGGCGGGAGGAAGCCCAGACGGGGTGACTTTTACTACGGTCCTCACATCGTGTAGTCATGCCGGCTTGACAGATAAGGGCAAAGAGTATTTTGAGTTGATGCAAAGTGGGTTTGGGATAATCCCTGCATTGGAGCATTATACGTGTATGGTGGATATGTTAGGAAGAGTGGGGCGGGTTGAGGAAGCAGAGGAGTTGATTTCGGGAATGGAAATGGAGCCTGATGAGGCATTGTGGGGTGCGATGTTGAGCGCTTGTCGGATCCATGGGAAGGTGGAGGTGGCGGAGAGGGTAGAAGGGAAGCTTTATGGAAGGCAGTCAAGAGTAGCAGCTGCATATAAGTGAGAGTTAATATCTCAGCTAACATAACGGGATCCTTATTGATAGACTAATCAATCTCACACCTCACCAGAGTCTGAATTCAAACAAAATAATAAAACAGTTGAAAGTCCCAATGCTAATGAGCAGTTGATGAATATGGGCTCCGCCAAACTCTTATCATTTCAAATTTGTGGTGGAAATGATTGTTGGTAAACACGGAGGAAAATTCTGAACTGTAAAACCACACAAGGAAGAATTTTCTAAGTACCACCTCTTTCAACTGTCAAGGGTTCTTAATTCTTGTGGAGCAGAAGCTGCAAGGCTGCTATATCCTTTCGCATCGCATAACAGTTTTGGACTCTTCTCGAGCCCACACTAATCCGAGGCACTTGTTACTTTCTTATCATTTTCAGAATGCTGTAAGCAGAGTCTAGTAACCTAGCTAGCCACATATTACTGCTTTTAAAACCTGAATATGTTGAGTGGAAGAATGAGGTTCCTGATATCTGTTTGATTTTTAAGCCTCAGAAACTAAGTTACTATGGCACTTCTTTAAGTGCTCGCATAAGCTCTATAGCATTGAGTGTATCAAATTAGGTTCATGAAAGTTTTACAGTCAATCAGTCTTAGTGAAACTCTTATTCTTATATATTTTGTGTTCTTAAAGTTCCTTCCTTGATGCATCAAAAAGTAGTTTAAGTGCATTTTTGCTTTTCTCTATGAGGATTGTTAATGGAATTCTCATTCCTTGATTATGGGATTGTACCATCTCCATATCACAGTTGACTAATCCCTAATTGTAGCTATCCCATGATTGTAGATATCTCAATAAATTTATTTTTCTTATTTAACTGAATTTTGCATATATAAATACCTCATCTTGTACTCTTGACAATACACAATTCAGAATATACAATTCTTCGCAACTTTTCTCTTTTTGTCCTTATGTTTTCAAGGATAAACTTGAAAAAAAAAAAAAAACCCCCATTATGAGACAAGTAGAGGACTGACATCTCGTTTCTATTGCTTTATTAGTAGTTTATTTGATTCCCCAGTAAATGGAAACCATTTTTGAACGTTCAACACATGGATGTCATGTTGTGTCCCACTCTATTTTCTTCATCAGGGAAAGGAGCACGCATTTTTCAGAAGGAAGAACAAATAAATGATGTATGCGTTTGTTATGTCCTTTATTTGACTTTGCATATGATAGACTACAGTACAGTGCCTCATAAACTCATTTTAATTTTCCTCTGAAGCTCTCTTGGGGCTCGTTTAATTCGCTGATTTGAGTTTTTAATTTGAGTTGAGATATGATGTTATGTGAGAGCTTTTTACTGTAGCAAAAAAGTTAGATGTGACTGTTTTTAAGAGCTTTTTATTGTAACAAAACTCGAATTTTAAACTCAAATCGGGGAAATAAACGGGGTCTTGGACTCTTTCTCTCGTGAAAGTCTCCTACGCGTGAGCTTGAATTTTATTCAAAGATATTCATCAATAATCTTGTCAACATCAATCAAATATCCACTTTTTTGCTTCTAAAAATTTCTAGTTAGCTCATCTGGCAAAAAAAAAAAAAAAAAAAAATCACTTTATATTGATGATACATAACTTACAATTGAAGTTGGATTTTTCTTTCTATATTAACGATGTCATGCTTTGGGAATGTATTAATGCAACGGAAATATGGGAGCTTCTTTCGCAGGGCAGGCAGTTTTTCCCTTCCAATAGAGTAAGATAATTTTGACCGTTGAATTAACTTTTAAACGGTATTGATATGCAGTGTTCATCTTAATAATTTACAGAGTGACATAAACTTATTCTCAAAATCAGACTCATAAAATGTACTGCTTTCAAAATCAGACTCATAAACTTAGACATAAAATGTTAATCCAACAGCTAAAATACATTCATCACCTAAATACAGGGAAAAAAAAAAAAAAAAAAAAAGCCTTCCTTGCCTAGAGAAATTTGCTAGAAATATACTGCTTTCAAAATCAGACTCATATACTCTTGTACACTACTTCTATTTAGCAAGAGAACATTATTATGCGAATTTGTGGAATTCAGTTCCAAAAACATATAATTTTATTTTTCAACATGGTATATATAAAAGTGAAAGCTCCACCTTCTAATTACCTTTAAAACGGCGTTGACTTTTGAACATTTCCGAAAGTCAAACTACAATAGTTCATCTGAGAGCTACAACAGCTGCTTCTGACGTCGTTCATACATATGATCAAAGCAACGTAGTTATACTCCGCTGACTTTCGCTCTATAAATTACCTCGATGTTTGTGCCTGTTTGTCAAATTCAAACTTCTCAGCCTGCATTCATTGCCGGTAGAGAACTGTTATCTATTATCAACTTGCTGGGACCGATATCATATCCATACTACGTAATCGAAAAACCAGCGGGTTATATAATTCTGATTTAAAAGCCTTTGATAAAGTCCACTTGACCTAGTATAGTATTTTGTAAATGTCTCGCCTCGTTCGTTTTGCGGATTCGAGTTTTCAATTTGAATTGAGAAGTGATTTTTTTTAAAACTTTTAACTGTAGCAGAAAAAGTTAGATGTGACTTTTTTGAGAGTTTTTAACTATAACAACCTAAAACTAAAAACTCAAATCGGTAAAATGAACGAGACTTAAAATTTAAAACATTCAAGTCATCCTTACATGCCTCAAGTACTATTCTAAAGCCCAATTCATTTTGCTAGTTCGAATCATAACTTAAATTTTTATTATAATATTTTTCTTTTATAAAAATTTAAATTCAACTTTTTTGCATGATAATTGATAAATGATAATACAGACATACATATATCAATAGTTAGAAAATCGGCATACTAGTTTTTTTAGAAAATTTGAACCTAATTTACAAATTAAAAGGCCGCTACAAAGAATAATTAATTAGACTTTAAAAGTGGCATTCAACTAATTCAAGCGTATCAATAGAGGTTTATATTTCCTATATATATATATGTATCGCTTTAGTGGTTCATACTTCATACCATTTATAATTGGGTCCATAACTTCATTACAAGTTATTGTAGGGCATAAGAACCTAGACTTTAGAAATCTTCTCCAATTGACAAATGAAGGATTTTGCTTGCACTCAAGAACGTACACGTTGATCAAACTTTTCTTCAAATAGGGTCTTGTGTGGCAATTATGCAACCTAGAAAAAATAATAATAATAAGGTACACCATGTGTGAAAAAAATGAGCATACGTCATTATCTAGGGTTCGTTTAGTTCGTTGATTCAAGTTTTTAATTCGAGTTGAGATGTGATTTTATGTGAGAGTTTTTTACTGTAATAAAAAAATTAAATGTGATTATTTCTGAAGACTTGTTACTATAATAAAATTTAAATTATAAACTCAAATTGGTAAAATAAAGGAGATCCTAATACTTATGTTGAGAATTCCATGGTCATATGTTCTTTTTACAGTATCCAAAAAGATCAATCGAGTACTTGAGATGCGGCTGCTAAATATCGTAGTCAATGTAGCTTTCATTTTCTTCTTTTCAAATTAATATGACCAATAGGAAACATGTACGCCTATTTTATTAATCTTCAATGCCTTCTTCACCTTTTTTTTTTTGGCACTAATTAAAAAAAAAAGTAAGCTCGCAAGATCAATACAATGAACGTGGTTAATGCACTTGGAGAAACGCAACTCCATCTACCTTATGATCTCCGAAAAGCTGTAAATTATAGTTTTGATTTGTGAAGTAACACATTGATGTTTTGCTTTCCAAATGGATATTGTCTCGGTGCTCCATTCAACTAAGTGCTAGCTTTTTAAGGTTGGTCCGTATTCAAATTTAACACGTTTTATATGTTTCTACCGAGGTTTGTCTCGTTTGTATTTGCCTCAGTGCTTAACCGGTAGCAAAAGCCTCCCTCCAAAAGCAATAATAGCGACTTTCACCGGTAAGGTTTTATTATCGGTAATGACAGTTTTTTATCCTCGAATCTTATGAAAATTATACAGATTAAGAGTCTGTTTAGTGTCTAAATTCGTTTCCTGATTCAAATCATAATTCGTTGTTTGTTATAATATTTAATCTCACAAAAAATACACGTAAATCGAAAATAATTCTAATCACATGGTTTGAATCCATGAACCAAACGCCACCTAAAAAATATGTAGAATTGATAATTTTTAATACATATTTAATTGCTAAAAGTAAAAAATTACTTGTTTATTTTTTTTTTCCTACCAGAGAAACTCAATAATAAGTGGCTAAATAAGTTTTTCTTAAAAGAATAATAATAATAATAAAGGAAGCATATAAGAACTTTGGTCAGTTCGACTTTTTTTTGCCGTCTTTATTCAACTAAATAAAAAAATAAGGATAAAGATAGGAATATAAAATATGTGCTTTGGTAATGCTAATGGCAATTATGGTTGTCCTATACAATATACATGTCAAATTGCCATCTGACTGTTCTTTCTTAAATAAAAACTCTTATCAGAAATGTTTGTGTGACATCAGCAATTGATTAATTTGATAATACACCTGAAACCATTTTTTTTTTTTTTTTTAATTTTAAAGTAGGCATCCTAACGAAATCCTTATTATGATAGGGTGGAAATCTGGATTCTGACCTTCGTTTTCTTGGGGGTTCATTAAAAGATGTCATTTAAAAGAAAATGTAGTTGGAAGGGTTCCCTCTTACCTAAACAATGGACTTTTTATTAGCAAGTAACTTACAACTCACAACTACCTTGTCTTACCAAATTAAATAGTAGTAATATCAAGGAACATTCCGCTATGGAGCACCCAAATCTATTAGCTTTCTGTCCAATAAAATTCATTTGGAATTCTTTAATTCTTTTGAAATTAATTAGGTATGATCACTTTTGCAATGACTCCATTTTCATCATGGCAGAGTTGCAATTTTCTTTCTCTGTTGCCTGAGAAAATGTTTGGAACCTGCCTGCCCACCCACCCACAAAAATAAATAAATAAATAAATAAATAATAATAATAATAATAATAAACTATATAATTCGTACTTCCTATTTCCTAAAAAACTTTAATATTACATCCAAGTTGACTGATTCATATTCACAACTGGAAGAAGACATTTCTGTCATGGCTATATGAAATTCTAAACATGTTGGGAGTTATGCAATAATATTACTCTGGCTGATAAGATTGCTTTAATTGTTAAGAATTAGACGCCTTTATTCTATGTAATTGAGAGCAATACAAACTCAAAAAAATAAATCAAGTAAAATCAACACTAAGAGTTTATAGAGATTCACCTCAACGTGAGATTACACCATCTTTCAGTTGTTATATCGCTATGATAAAGAAGAAGTTATTAAAGAACATTACACACCTCTTAACTCTATTCATTTTTCTTCTACCTCTCTAATTAACCCCAAAAAAGATGCCTTCTTTTACAATAAAAACTAAGACAACCGATTTTTTAAGTGTAAAATTCTCAAACTACTGTTAATGTAATTTTGGTTTGGATGCCCCGCACCCGTGGTAGGGGAACTTCCCGCCTCCCTTCCAATCCTATAGTGGCCTTACGATAAAGGTCGATCTTTAAAATCTTCTGCGTAAGGCAATAACTTGTCAGGGTAACTAAAGTTTTATTATTTTCACAATTTAAGTTCTTTTGCTACAGTTTCAAATTCAATTTTTTTGTTATGATGTTTTCTTTCACATAAAAAAATTTGAGTTGTGAAAAGAACACGCGACTCCTCAACTAAACATTGATATCAAACCAAAAAAATCACAATCAAGAAAGTAAAAAAAGATATTTATCATGACTAAATTAATCGAATAACAAAAAAAATGGAGTCTAATTTTAAAGGTTTATTTTAGGAATACCCTCTTAACTTTTTAAATTTAGTAATTTGATTCTTATTCTTTTTTTTTTTAGCAATTGACCATTTCAACTTAAAAATCTTTCCAATTAAAATCCAATTGAATATGACATCTACTTTTTTGACGGTTTTGGTCACATGACATACATGTAGGCGTCTAGTTTCTCACTTTTAGAGCGTATGTTGAGGAAACCAAGAGTTGTTTATTAAGCTGATTGTGTTCAGAACATCGGAGACGTTTGGTTTATGAATTAAAATAATGTGATTAGAATTATTTTTGATTTACGTGTATTTTTTGTGAGAAAAAATACTGCAGCGAATCATGAACTATGATTCAAATCATGATTTGAATTCTCTAACCAAACGTCCTATAAATGATTCTGAAATTAATATAATTGAATAAATAAGATCAAAAATGATATTAATTATTCTTAATAAATGTTCATGTGCGCGTCATGTGATCAAAATTATAAAAAAAAAAATAGATGACATTTTCAATAGATCTTAATTGTAAATATTTATAAGTTGAAGGGATAAACCGTTAAAAAAAAACCATAATGAAAAAGCGAAAGAAAAAGAGAGGTGGCAGTGGCAGACTGTGGCTTGCTCACTTTTATATTTGTTGGGTCTTCGTTTATATTTTTTCTGCTTCTACAAGTCTCGGGAAGTACGTGAGTTCCGTACGGGGACATGTACTCGTATTGAGTTGCGTAGACTTTTTATTTGGGGATGAACAATTGAACTTGAAGTGTGAAAACTGAATGCTCGAATACTTTTTTTTTTTTTTGTTTCTTTTCCTTTTTAAAATAGTTTCTTACTTGTGGATAGTTATAGTTAGAGGTATAAGTTTAGACTGTCTGACCCAACTCGGTTTAAATTTGACGGTTCAAAAGAAAATTATAAGTTAGATCAGTTTTACTTTAAAAGAGATAAAATCGGTTCAGTTTGGCTTTAAACTTAAAAAATTTAAGGTCGGTTTAATTTGGCTCTAAACTTATAAAATTAAGGTCGGTTCAGTCCGGTCATAAAAAAAAAAAGAGTCGACTTAACTCAATTTTAAGCCCAAAAAATTTAAGACTGAATAGAGCTTGAAAAATTTAAAATTGAGTAGAGCCCGAACCAATAGTAACAAACTTTTAACGGTCTATTTTATCCGATTTAAACTTAAAGCTCTAATTGTAATTGTAGTTGTAAACTTGTCCACTCTATTCACCTTTTTATAAATAAATAAATAAAAAAAACCTTGTCCACACCCTAAAAAATCATTGAAGATTCAAAAGTAACGTTGCTTTCCTCGTTCAAATTCCACTTTCTTGAAACTTCTCAGAGAGGTCGGCAGCAGCCAACTCTTCACCATCACCACCTTTTTTTTTTCAAAATTATTTTATTACATTTTTTGAACTTTGCTCTTTTGTTTTCTTTCTTCAAATATGTTAATTTTATTCTAGTGTCAAATGGTGCTTGGCTATTAAAAATCATCAAAATTAATGAAAGTAGAAACTTTGAAAGTTACCAAGAAAAAGAGAGACCCTTGAACTAATCTTTATTAGGTAACTAATTAGATTTCTCCAGAATTAATCAGGACGCTATTCTTTTACAAATTGGAAAATCTGAAGATTTCCCTCCGACGTAATCAAGATATAAAAATGACTAGACTCCATACAATGTTTTGTTCAATTTTTCTTACTGCAAAAACACCAATCACGTATCAAATTCAATAGTATGATTATTAATAATAATAATTTTTTTTTTCTTCTTTCTTTTCGAATTATATGTTGCCTGCAAATTGGAAATTTTTAATGCCATGCGCGGTGGCATGGTCCCCCAATTGGCCCAGCCACCTGTCTTTTGACTCAACCAAGAAAGCGACACCAATCCGAACTATTAAAACAAAATATAAAAAAGTAAAAATAGAAATAAATAAATCCCAAATCCGAAATTGGCATTTAACACTATAATTTAAATTCAGATCAAATATATATAATAAGAAAAGAAAGAAAGAACGAAAGAAAGAAAGAAAAGGAGGTTGGGTTTATCAATCCAACCATTTGACTAAACAAAAAAATTCAAAGCTAATCATCTAAACCATTATCTTATATGACCTTCATTTCTCACCCCTAATCCTCCCTTTTCCTGTTTCATTCATTCATTCTTCCCATGAAACACTCTTCTCCTTCTTCTTCTTCTTCTCCTTCTTCTTCTTCTTCTTGTTCATCTTCATCTCAGTAATCTCTCTCTATCACCCACATGACACAATGAAGATAATCCAGAACCACCAAAAACCACCATTTCTCTCTCTAACTCTACTGACCGCCACAATCCTCTCTCTCCTCCAACTTGCTCTCTCCGTCGACTTCCTCTTCAACGGCTTCAACGACACCGCCTTATCCCTCTACGGCAACGCCACAATCCAATCCCGCATCCTCACCCTCACAAACGACACCACTTTCTCTATAGGCCGAGCTTTATACCCTTCCAAAATCCCCGCAAAACGGCACAACTCCTCCTACGTCCTTCCCTTCTCCACCTCCTTCATCTTCTCCATGGCTCCTTACAAAAACACCCTCCCCGGCCACGGCCTCGTCTTCGTCTTCGTCCCCTCCACCGGCATCGCAGGCGCTAGCTCCTCGCAAAACCTCGGCTTCCTCAACCGCACCAACGACGGCAAAACCGACAACCACGCCTTCGGCGTCGAGTTCGACGTCTTTAAGAACGAGGAGTTCGACGACATAAACGACAACCATGTTGGGATCGACGTGAATTCTCTAAAGTCCTTGGTTTCTCGCGACGCCGGGTACTGGCCGGACGAGAGTAACGGTACGGACGAGAAGTTTTTCAAGAAAATAAAGCTCAATAGCGGCGAGAATTATCAAGTTTGGATTGATTATAATGATTCTTTGATTAGTGTTAGCATGGTAAAAGCTGGTTCGAAGAGGCCTAGGTTTCCTTTGTTAAGTGAAAAGTACAATTTGTCCGAGGTGTTTTTCGATGAAATGTATGTTGGGTTCACGAGCTCAACTGGGCAATTAGTACAGAGGCATATGATTCTAGCTTGGAGTTTCAGCAACACAAACTTCTCTTTGAGTGAGAGTTTGGTCACCGCCGGTTTGCCGTCGTTTGTTCTTCCAAAAGCGTCGTTTCACAAGTCCAAAGGGTTCATTATTGGAGTCACGCTTGGGGGTTTGTTTTTTATTGGTTTTTGTGCTTTGATTGTCGTTTTGTTGATCAAACGACAGAGGAGAAGAGCGAAGGAAAGAGCTGAAATGGAGGATTGGGAACTTGAGTATTGGCCCCACAGAATGACGTACCAAGAGATTGAGGAAGCGACGAAGGGATTTAAGGAGGAAAACGTGATTGGAATAGGAGGAAATAGGAAAGTTTATAGGGGAGTTTTGGCTGGAGGAGCGGAAATTGCGGTGAAAAGAATGTCACGTGAGAACGATGGAATGAGGGAGTTTTTGGCTGAGATTTCGAGCCTTGGAAGGTTGAAGCATAGGAATTTGGTGGGGTTGAGAGGTTGGTGCAAGAGAGAGAAAGGGGTTTTCATGTTGGTTTATGATTACATGGAAAACGGGAGTTTGGATAAAAGGGTGTATTTTGAGTGTGAGGAGAGTAAAATGTTGGGGCTTGAAGATAGAATTAGGATTTTGAAAGATGTGGCATCTGGGGTTTTGTATTTACATGAAGGGTGGGAGTCAAAAGTGTTGCATAGGGACATTAAGGCAAGCAATGTGTTACTAGACAAGGATATGAGTGGAAGACTGGGTGATTTTGGTCTGGCTAGAATGCACGGGCACGGTCAAGTGGCTAGCACCACCCGAGTGGTCGGGACCGTCGGGTACTTGGCCCCGGAGGTGGTTCACAACGGTCGGGCCTCAGCTCAGACCGACGTGTTCGGGTTTGGGGTCTTGATATTGGAGGTCATGTGTGGGAGGAGACCCATAGAGGAAGGGAAGGTGCCCTTGGTGGAATGGGTTTGGCAATTGATGGCTCAAGGGCAGCTCTTGGATGCCCTTGATGAGAGGCTGAGGGCAAAAGGGGAATTTGATAAGGAGCAAGTGGAGGGAGTGTTGTATTTGGGGATGTTATGTGCTAACCCTGACCCAAGTGCTAGACCAAATATGAGACAAGTTGTGAGAGTGTTGATGGGCAAAAGTGGTAATGAGGTCCATGATGCCGAGTCTGAGGATATGGACGCCTATTTGCTTGACAAGACGCAAAATAGTGAATTTTGGAACGGTTTTTCTCAAAGTTTTGGCTATGGATCACACCCAACTTTTGAAGATATTAAGCAATCAATTTCTTCGTCAATGTCTCTGTCTTGGTCCAGTACCATAGTGGAGGGTAGGTGAATCTCCAATATGAATTAGAAAAAAAAAAAAAAAAAATGAAAAAAAAAGAGGACAATATGCTGGATTTTCCAATTTTATCACGTCTTATATTTTTACACATGCTTGCAGTTGCAGATGAAGTTGATGATGGTAAAATGAAAGTGAGATTCAAGACTATATGATGTAAAAACCTTAGAAGGAGATTCTTTTTTGAGCTTTCTACCGGGTAGCCTACTTTCGGATAGTAGTCAAAATCTAATGGTTTATAATGGAGGTTTATTTATTTATTATTATTATTATTATTATTTTAATACCTTAAGGTAGGATTCTCGCTTTATTCATTTCAGTTGGGATCTTTTAGAAGAGATTACTACATTCATTTTTTTTTTTTTCAACTTTATTGTAAGTTAAAATGTTGTTGTACATATGTATGTATCACACACGCGATTATATGGAAATCAAAGGTTGCTTATTCTGTTGTGTTCTGTTTTTCATTTTTATTTTTATTTTTTGGTTGTGGTTACATCTTGTGATTGCTCGTAACATGATGTGTCTTTCTTCAACTATAAGAAACCGAATTGGTTCAATTATGAGAGGGACTTTGGACTCATGGTTTGCATTAAGTATAGTTGTTGCTTTCTACCTTCCTTCTTTTTCGGGGTTAACTTTTTTAGAAGGCTATTCCTTTTTTTTTTTTTTTTTTGCTTTAAATTTAAGTAATCTTGATGAGTCAGGATTTTTTTTCGTTTTACTCTTGATTCATAATCTTTTTAATCAAATAATTACACTAATAAAAAGATATTTATCAAGATTAAGGAATAAAAATCCAGACACGTACACTCTCAAAAATAAAGTCTCAATTTCTTCTCAACTTTATCATCATGAGAACCATTATCAGTCATTGTCTAAATCTAGCAAAGCCATATTCTACTATAATTGGAGAGTAATGATGCTTCAAAATGATTAGGGTTAGGTCAAGAGTTTGGTAACAACTCTTACCGTGAAATTAATTACTAAATAATAGCTCCAAACACATGTTATGCATTTTTTTTTTTTTTTTTTTTTGGAAATCTCTGACCTGTTTGCCATTACTAACCTTTAAAAGGAAGCGTCCTCCTGTTGTTATTGAAGCATATGCACACAGATTAGGACTGCCTTAAGGTATGCGGTGGAAATTAGTGAAAATAATTATAATCGTTTGGTTTGGCTTATATCAAGTTAATCATTTGAGTTTTCCTGTTATAATGATGGACATATTATATATAATTAATAGATGCAAATGACCAAATTGGTATTTCATTGTCGATATATATATATATATATATATAAATGTTGATGCAATAATTAGATTCTCAAAATAATGGAACAAAGACATACCGCTTTTCCAAGTTTTAACGGAAAAGATGAGTGAGTCCATATTAAACGTGCTAATGTACTAAAGACCTTTAACAGCATCATGATCCCCTAATGGCAAACAATAAACAACTAGATGTAATGGACAACTGCATGGGGCTTGAAAAGTGTTGTGGGCTTTTTCTCAAAGGTTCTGACTGCATGACATGTGTCCATAAATTATAATTCAAATTTTTTTATTACGTTGTCTCCTAAAAAAATTTCTATCTAAATCTATAAGGAGACGTTTGATTCATATATTAGAATCATGATATTAGAATCATTTTTAATTTACGTGTATTTTTTGTGAGAGAAAACACTGTAGTGAATCATGAATCATGATTCGAATCGGGGTACGAATCCCCTAATCAAACAACCTCTGAATTAAATGGACTATAAAGATTTGAACAGGATCAAATTATGGAATGAGCCTAAATAGTCGAAAAAGGATTTTAATTTTAATGGAGGTGCCCGATGTCGCACAGACGTCAAGAGGCAAGTAATCGACACCTTGACGCTTGTGATCGAGCTTGAAAACTGAGATCGAGATCAATACAGACCCGAGTACTCTGGTCGCGAAGGTTCCAGTTAGGCTACTTCCAGTAATCGGTTAGGTTACCATCAATGTTTGTCACTTGAATAACCTCAGCGGGTAGCTGCTTATAATCTGAACAGTAAATTCTGAAAATTTAACAAAAATTTATTTAAAGTGACTTACTGAAAATAAACAATAAAAACCGAGGTTATTTTTAAAAGAAAATGTGCCCCTCTTATGATTCTGCTTATTAACATAACATTAGTAAGAGATTTTTATGCGATATACCACGAAATAGTAGTGGGGATCGACTAAGGCCACTTCAATCCTGTTGCAAAATACGCCACGCACAAAATTAATCTTACTGCCGAGTTGACTCTTTACTTTCTCTTCCCCTTCTCTCTCTTTCTCAATCAGAAGAGTTTTCTTTTTATTAAAAAAATAAAAGAAAATAAATAGATAAATATAAACAAAGAAATATAATGGGTTTTTTTTTCTGAAAAAAGAAATATTGTTAAAATTAAATTGTTTACATAATGGGCTAAGTTATGTGCTTAGTCTAAATTTATTAATGCTTAAGACCTAAATCGCACAACTCAGACAGCACCACACTGCATTGTACTTTTTTGACGGTTTTGATCTCAAGTGTAGCAAACAATGTTTTAGCAACCGGTCAAATCAAACAATGTTTTAGCGCTTTTTTTTTTGTGCCTGAATTTTTTGCATTATATGTGATTTTGTGTATTTTTTTGTTTGTTTCCGAAGCCGACTTTAGAACGGTTGGCCGTCGTCGATCTCGGACTGGCAATAGTAAAATATAACATAAGAATGCCGACGATTTTTTATAGTAACTGTAAAGTATCCTGGAAGAATACCGGCGATCGCCTCTAAATATCATGGCAGGATACTAACGATCGTCAACTGGCTATCACCAGGTGCTGAAATTTTTAAATATTATGATGGGATATCTCTAAGTAACATGGTGAGATACTGCAATTGCCAGCCAACAGTTGTCGTGATTGTGAAATTTTTATATCACGACTCTGCACCTCTTAGTATCATGGTTATGATAAATTTTTAAGAGGCGTTTGGTTCATAGATTAAAATTATGTGATTAGAATTATTTTTGATTTACGTGTATTTTTTATGAGAAAAAATACTGTAACGAACTATAAATCATAATTTAAATCATGATTTGAATCCTCTAACTAAATATTTTCTTAGTATCGTCCGCAAAATATATTTATGTGTAGAATGATAGGATATGATAGGATATGATATGATATGAAGGCCCATAGTTGTCCCCCTCATCTCACATTCAGACTAGCTTTTAGCCCATATTTAGTTGTAGAGAAATTATAGTAAATAAGTCATCCTATTAAACTTGTAGAAGTAAATAACTAATTTATTAAGAATATTTTTTAAAATTTTTTATTATAATAAAATTTAAATTTTAAATTTAAATCGGTAAAATGAACGTGCTTTAAAGTGTTAAAGTTAATACGCCATGGTCAATAAAATCTGTTTTCCAACTTTACCCTTCTTTACAGTTTTTTTTCCTTTAATCTTTATTCTCAAACCCCCCTCTCGATCACCTGTCTCTCTCTCTCTCTCTCTCTCTCTCTCTCTCACTTCACCTGTGTGTGTCCCTCTCCCTCTCTCTTTGTCTCCCTCCTTTTTCTCCTCGGTCCTCTCTTCACCTGTTTCTCTCTCTCCTCTCTCTTTGTCAACTGTGGCTCTGATTCGCATTCGTCGTCGCGAGGTTGAGCGACACAAGGCCACGACTGCACCACCACGGAGATCAGTGAGCTTTCGTACGCGTTCTGGTGGTCTTCGTGTCTTATTTTTTAGATTTCAGATTTGGGGGATGTGGTTTGGGTTTGTTCTAATATTGGGGCTGATTTAGGGATTTTTTTGAGGTCTAATTTGTTATTCATGAAATCAATACTCTGAGATTTATTTATATGAATAAGTAAATCCAGTTTTGGACACATTTATAAATCGGTAGATCAACTTTTACTTACAATCTAATTGTGAAAGTTATTAAAATGGTTTGGTTATATATCTGCAGACCGCAACTAGTGAAGGAATCAAGTAAATGGAAGAAAATTAAATAACGTCTTATATGGGTGTAAAACCAGATTTACACTTAAATTGCATATTTTCTACCTATGTCTAAACTTTGTTGGAGGAGTGGTAATTCGTATCACATGTTGTGTTCGTATCGTGTTTTGATTGTTTTTTAAAATTTGTAGTCATCTCGAACACGTCTTATTGCATGAAATTTTTTAAAAAGCGTAACACAAACACGACATGACTACTTTACGAGTTGACACAACACGACACGAAAATGACTCGTGATATGAAATTAACACGTGAACTTAAAATTAACACGAAAATTATATATATATATATATATATATTTTTTTTTTTAGTTTTTTTATATATTAAAAATAACTTAAAATTCATAACACACTAAAATACAATAACATCCATCAAAATTAAGCAAATAATAGTATAAGATTTTGAGTATAACTATCATGATATTATAAATTCATAATAAAATCTAAAATATGGAATGAAAAAAAATATATTTTAGTTTTTTACGAGTTTTGTGTCGTGTTCGGGAGCGGGTTCAATTCAAAATTGTCCCGTGTTTTTTGTGTCAATTTTAAGTCGACTTAATTCTGACCTGAATTTTTTTTTCTCAATCCTAACATGTGAAATTTATGTCGTTTTTAAATCATATTATCGTGTCATGACTAATATTACCGGTCATATTTTGGCGCATATATTTTTATTACTTAGGTCTATTTCCCTTTTTATAAACATTATACTTGGAGGGCACAAGGAGGTAATTCCTCCCGTGGGCTAAAAGCTCGTCTGAATTTGAGATAAGAGAGACAACTGGTTTGTAAAATAATAATTAAAGTAAGTTCCTTTCGCTCGTTATCAATCATTTTTTTCGTGGTGAGTACGTCATCAATCAAATATTTAAAATTAGAACTATCATATTAAAGTTTTAGAATAAAGATGAACTTATGCGGGTTGAGATAGCAACATTTGCGTGGCACAAAATAGATAAAACGCAACATACATATTATAACGATTGCGCTAGTCAATATGGGCCGCGCCGGACGGGTTGGCTCGTGGCCCGTCTTTTTGGATTGATACACGGTCTGATCGGTAATAAAGATTGGCATAAAATTAAGAGAAAAGAAGATAAATACCGTTTAGATTGTATAAACCTGAATTTTTATTCTTTATTCTTAATTAAAATCTTTTTTAATCAATTAAAAATTATATTAGTTAAAAGGGTATTACTCAAGAGTAGAATGTGAAAATCCAGACTTTATGCAATCTAATTCTCTAAAAATCAAAGTAACGTTAGAACGCTAATTTAGTAATGCATTAAATTAAATTAAAGATACTCTGACTTGTATATATGTTTTCAATGTTAAATGCAACTGTTAATACTAATTAACATGACAAGTTTTTTAAGCATCAACCGATAAAAGAATATCAACTCATAAACCTTGTATTA